ATTCCAACGTTTGACATAGGCAAATATTTACATAGCAGGTAGGTATATGAAAAGGTATATAAAGACTTACATTATAGGTATTTATATATCATCCTCGCCTTCGGAGCTGTCGCTAGAGTCATCTTGTAGAGGAATTACAACGGGATTTACAGGAGGCAAAACACAATATTAATTTTCTTTTTCAATAATATGCCTAGAACACTGCTTCCATAGGTCTGTGGCAGCAATATGAGATACTGCATCTCTTATTGTGGCCAATAGCGATTCACTTAATTGAGGGGTCTGATTATGTTTTCTTACTTTTTTTTTAAAGCAGCCGTGACCAACTCAATCGGGTTAAAAATGCAGTAATAGGGAGGTAGACGTAATACTTCATGGCCATTTTGCTGAAGCAGATTGTCAACAACATACTCTTTTTCAAATTTTTGTCTTTTAATAAGATCCAATAATATGGCTTTGGTTGATTTTTGTGGTATTTCCATTCCCTTATCCTTCATAAAATCAATAATGTCTTGTTTTTTTGTGCCTGTATTCGGAATTTTGTTTTTCTGTCGGGAATGGTATGGCGCATTGTCCATAATAATCACTGAATTTGGGGAAATGTTTGGTATTAACTGCTGCTCTATCCACTTTTCAAATAAGTCGGAGGTCATGTCCTCATGATAGTCGGCACATGATTCTTTGATATTTTTGGCAGATAACAGCAAGGCATTAGGTATAAATCCATTTTCACTGCCAGCATGGAGAATATTGATTCGTTTTCCACGGTTGCATGGTGCATTTAAAATGCACTTGTTGCTGTCGTCAACCCAGCCGTACTGCACAACATCATGGGTATCATACCACGTTTCATCCAGGTAAATCAGATTTCTTTTCTGCTCTCTATAGATTTTAATTTTGTGCAAAAATTCTTCGCGCAATTCAACTATTCGAGACGACTCCATAATCACCATTCTGTTATCTAATTTTTTGTATTGAAAACCACACAGTTTTACAATACAGTGCAGTGAGTCTAAGCATTTGTAATTATAAAAATCTTCAGGATAATCTTTTAATTTATCCCGTATCATTTCCAACGTGGGCACCAAATTTTCTTTATAAAATCCGTATATTATACGACGAATATTTTCCTGAAAACCCACGTCTATTCTTTTTAATTTTTGCCCTATGCGCTTTCTGTGGAAGGAATGGTTGACTACATCTCCCCTTTTTATAACCCGATAAATGGTAGACCGACTGATTTTTGTCAGGATACAAATTCTGTTTAAAATTTGATTTTGCGAGGAATCTGGATTTTCGTTTTTCAGACAATCATACATATTTAGGATTACTCTTTGGGTCTGTTCCTCTAAATCTTTATGAAAGAATTCTGCCTGCACAGGTTCATCAACCATCTCCTCGTAGCTTGGAGCATTTTCCCAAGGTCTCCAAAGAGCCATATTTAGGACACACAAGAACAATCAACACAACAATTAAATCAACAAGTAAACTGAGTATTCAAAAGTCAAAAACACACAAACTAATAAAATCTATGAAAAAACACAGACAGACTAAAGAAAACACGTTTATTCACGGCTACACGGCACTGGCTAAACTGTTTCAATTTTCAGTAGCCACCTGCACTTGTTCGGAGCTCTGAAATACACGCTTTCTCATTGGCTATGTCCACGCATAGGCGTGCTTTACTCCACGTGGACCGGTGAAACTGCCTTTGATCTTATACGGGGGATATTTGCTGCGAAATTTGGCGATTTTTGCAGCAACAGAGCATGTTAAATATAGATATATAAAACGCACCCGGTATTTCACAGTGTTTCAAGTGACTTCAGATAAAGTATACATATCAACGACCTCCTTTCCTGTACGGTTAATCCAATCGACAACTTTGCTGAAGACAGCGCTCTACATGCAGAAATTGAGAGCGACAAGCCGATCTGAATAAGAAGATTAGCAACGACTTCCTCTCTAACAAGAGCCCTGGAGGTTATCACTGCTTGGGGATGCAACAATCTTGACAGTTTAAGGCTTCCAAAACACAGTACTGTACCTTGACGAACAAAAAGCGTCCTAGCGCTCATCCGGATTCAAAATTCAATTCAAATTCAAAATATTTATTGCGTCATGAATAAACATCATAAACAACGGAAATTCTACAATATAGAGCAATGACGAAATAGGACAGTCTCTCGATTATAAAATCGATACATTGAACCCTTTAATACAAAGAGTCCATGCGAGAAAGCCCTAAACACCCTAAAAATCCTTAAACAAAACAAAAAAAAAACAATAAAGAGGCAAATGAAAAGGCGGTGAAACATAAAAAGGGAAAAACGAAGAAAGAACCCCAGGAAGCTGGCAACGGACGCGAAAAACAAATCTATACAACTTGTCAGCGAGTAGGAATGTAAAAACGATATTTTTGCTCACACAAACGCTGCTAAAGTAGCTGGTAATTCTGTAACAACGTTTTTGTCAGTTTTGAGAATGTTTCTGACGATGAGCTTTTAACTGAAGTTCGTAACCTATGCCATAAGTGAACCGCCACATAATCAAACGATCGTCGGAAGGAACGGGTTCTATGCCTTGGTACAATAAAATTGAGATTATTTCTGCTCCTCTGGGCACGAGGCAAAGGCACAAATCTTTCTCTTAAATAGGGCGGTTGACTTGTTTTTATAACCCTATAGATACGAGGGACGTCTTTAAAGTTTTGCATATAGAAACATAGTAGGCCGCGCGGATCGAACGTCAATACTGAATCTTAACCTCACTCTTTAGTAAACTTAAATTCAAAGTTACACAAAAATACGTGCAGTGTTCTCACTACAGTGAATTTTTTAAGTGTCACCAAGTCAGTAGAAAAATGGAACTCAACCGAGAACATTTTCGCGCCATAATTTATTACAACTTTCAGAGACAATTATCGCAACAAGAATGCCTTGCTGAATTACTGTCTGTTTTCGGCAACGAAGCGCCACATCAGTCGACAATTTCCCGTTGTTATGGAGAATTCAAACGTGGACGGGTGAGTCTTAGCGACGATCCCAGGGTGGGTGCACCAAAAACGGCAGTCACCCAGGAAAACGTCGATGCTGTGCGCAAACTCATCATTGAAGACAGACATGTGATATATCGCCAAATTGAGGCGTCCTTGAAGATCTCAAAGACCTCAATTCAAAAAAATTTACATGAAGAATTAGGAGTAAAAAAATTAGTTTTTCGTTGACTGAAGAGCAGAAAGCAGCCAGGGTTAATTGGTGTCAAAAAACGCTTGACCGTTTCAATTCCGGAAACTCAAAAAATGTGTACAGCATTGTTAGTGGTGATGAATCGTGGATTTACTGTTATGAACCAGAAAAGAAACGACAGTCGGCTGTTTGGGTGTTCCAAGGTGAAGAAAAGCCAACAAACGCCATCCGTTCTCGAAGTGTTTCGAAAAAGATGGTCGCGACATTTGTGTCAAAAGCGGGTCATATTGCAACAGTTCCTCTTAATGAACAAAGAACTGGTCCTGCGGATTGGTATACCACCATTTGTTTGCCAAAAGTCATCACCGAGCTTCGAAAAATCAACTCCGATAGAAGAACCATCCTTCACCAAGACAATGCAAGCTCGCACACAGCCCAAAAAACAGGGCAGTATTTAACGGAAGAAAACGTGGAATTATTGGACCATCCTCCATATAGTCCCGATCTAAGTGCTAACGATTTCTTTACTTTCCCGAAAATTAAAAACAGACTGCGTGGTCAAAGGTTCCAGTCACCAGAAGAAGCAGTTGACGCATTCAAAAATGCCGTTTTGGATCTGCCAGCAAACGAGTGGAATAAGTGCTTCGAAAATTGGTTCGAGCGCATGCAGATGTGTATTAATCTTCGTGGAGAATACTTCGAAAAGAATAAAGTTATTTAAAACTACCAACGTGTTGTTTTATTTCCATATGCAAAACTTAAAAGACATCCCTCGTAAAAGATTACATGCGATATTTTCTGCGATTCGTCATGTTCAATATGTTGTAGTTATTCAGATAAGGAGTGATATGGTTTCGATATGGAATTCCAAACGCAAATCTCATGCAACTATTTTGAACTTTTTGTATGCATTTTTTGGTTCGAGACGATAGCGAATCACCATAGACGACATCTCCACAGACAATACACAAATAATATTTTTGTTTGGCTGATAAATATTTTTTTAATTTGTTTATATTTCTTAGTCGCATGTAAGCAAAGTTTGTTCTGTTTTTTATATGACTTCCGAAGCCAAGTTTAGTTGGATGATCGAGTTCTACCAAAGAGCCGTTCATTTCGGCTGGTCGGAGTCCAGATCACCGAAGACTTGATCTGGCACGAACACATCTCGTCAATAGCGGCAGCTGCTGGTAAAGAGCTAGGCTATATTTATGGCCTCCTTGATTTCCATAATTTTCTACTGTCCGTGTCAGCGCTCTATTTTGAGGTTATGTCACAAATCTCTATTTGCATCATTTTCCTATAATTGGAAAAGAAAACATAGCCTCACAACAGGAGAGCACTGACGCTGACAAGGAACAGTAGAAATATAGAAATATTCCAGCCTTTCTGAAGGAGATAAAAGATTATGAAAATCAAGGAGGCTATAAAGACGTCCTACAATTGTAGGAACAACTGGCGATACGGCACTTAGTACTCGAGGGATCCTTTATCATTAATTTCGTTGTTGGGGAAAATAGCCGATAGCGTAGCTTAGGTGTGGAAATATGCGGACATTCTTAGAATACCTTGAAAAAAGCTAGCGGGTGGTACCGCCACGGTCGACTGGACCTTGTCTACCTTCTTTTTGCGTGTTAATCATGTCAAATTGAACTTGAATGGGATGAAGTTGAATACTGAATAGTGCTATAAGAGGTAAATGCAAAAGACGTTTTTCTTTAGACATGGAGACTGTATACTTTCTTGATGCCACTTTCCAGAGAAAAAGATCTGGATTAAATATTCCTTCCAAACATTACTCTATTGACCAATGCGGAAGTCATGGCGTGCATTTCTCACTGCATGTAAGGAGATTCTTGTCAAAATCTCAACTTCTGCGGTCCTTTTATGAGAACTCGTCTGCCAGACAGGCGAAATTTTGTGAACAAAGGAAATGCTGCTTGTTAATGTTTCATAGAGTATATTAATAAAAGTACAGATTTTGTCAAATATTCACGACAATCTTTTAGCATTCCACATAAAATCTGTTTTTAAATTGGTTCACATTTGTTTTCAAAAATGTTGATACCTATAATTAAACACTAGAAAGTACGATTACAAAAATAAAAAGTAATGGATCTAGAATTCCAACTTACAAAACAAAATATTCGTGTAACATAGTACGTCAATTTTCACAGAATCCCTGGGTATATGTATAGATTGTTTTGTTCTGTCTGGTTTGTACAAACCTAGAAGCTTTATTGAAATTTTGGGAAGCATTCTGAGGTTTGTAAGTTGTAAAAGTTTGATGCCTTGTAGCCATGCCGGGCCACTACGATCTCCAGACCTTACTCTTCTTGACCATTTTCTCCAAAGCAATATTTTACGCGAAGCCATATGGAAGCAAGATATACATGAAGGTGAACGATATTTTCAGTCTAGAGCCTATAAGATACATCAAAGATAATGGTAAAAGCTTCTAAATTCTTCCACTTTTTTATCTACCCAACTCACAACTTGAGTCTCAGCGTCAGGATTCCAATAAAAAATTCCGTATACGACGCGGTTACGTGGATGATTTGGGCTTTCCTAAACAATATTGATAGCCGATGTCGACTATCCCAATTTGTTCCAGAGAATGCCTCATTATAAACGTATTTGATTCTTCTCGACTTGTGTCTAAGCCTAATTGCGATAAAATGCTTTGTACATGTTCACTACTAGATCAAGTCCGGTTTTAGGGTGCATTAGGCAAGATCTATCTTGAGTATAGACTAGAGACTGATAGCCACCAATTTGTAACATCAGCATCCTTCCATCCTAAAAAGCTTCAATTTTATACTGACTGAATTTGGAAAATGTTGACGAATTATCAAGATCAAAGCGGCAGTTTGTTACTGAAATATCCAGCTCTAGTATCAGAGTTCGATGAGCTGCTTATATGACATATATACAGGATACAAGATTCAATCCAGGACGTTGTACGTTTCCAGTGCTATGTTTTCGGGGATGTCGGAAGAGATCCTTTAAAGCAAATTCTTGTCCTTCTTGTGTGGTCTCGGTGTATATTAATAGACTTAAGTATGCCACTTTGAAGGATTGGGCACAAGGACTAACAAGAGCAGTGATATGATCGAACATTGTATGCAGACCATTAGGTTGGGGCAAGCCGAGAAAGACATCGAGCGCATTGGCCGTTGAAAACTACTGGTAAATTACCAGGATCATCTCATCCAGCTTCTGAAATGTGGACGAAACGTCTTGCTATTGCTATTGTAGGTCAAGGTTGAGGATTGGCTAGTCGCAGTGACTTTTAGTGGATGACCTGGAAAGTTCGGCAGTAACATTTATAGGATGAGTGCCATTTGAGTAATGGTCTCTTATAGGATTATAAACAAACGACAACGCTGCATTGAGAAATGTTCGAGTGAGGATTCAACACGGTGCATCACATGTTTTCGGATTTTGTAAAATTTTCCAAATTTGCATAATTTTCCATATGCTCAAAATTATCATTCAGAACTTCAATAATTTTCAATATTGTGAAAATTTTCAGGAAATTTGGCAACTTCTAAAGTTTTTTAAAATTTTGAAATTAGAAAAATTTTTACAATTATGAATGAAGGCTTTGGGTATATTAAAAGTTCTGAAAATTTTGCAAATTTGGAAATTATGTAAATCTTGGTAAAAAATCGTACAAATTTGCAAATTTTTAAAAATTTTCCTCACATCCTTTTCAACTGCTTTCACAAATTAACTAAAATTATTAAGCTTTACTGATCTGGGGATGCGCGGCGCAGTCGCTTCGTGTCCATGGTCTTCCGAGGAAGGCTATACAGATAAATGAAATACTGGATTTTCGGGCTGATTGTAGGCAGGCTTGTAGGGACTTTAACATTGCCTTTCCAATCCATCATATAAATAACAACCATGCTATGCTCAGAATGCACAGTGATGTCCACGGACACAATACTTTAACTACAAACTCATGACAGAGTATTTCTGGCTAACACGCTGTCAGAAATCTCCAGAGTACCAGGGCATGAAGTTTTTCAATCATCCACCGAAAAGCATCAGAGACATGCATGTTAACAAATTTGAAGAAAATGTGAAAAGCATCTTAATATCCGGTGACTTTTATTTTGTTTGATGTCTTAGTCTCTACTGTTTTTTATTTTAAGGCAGGTCTCTGGCGCGTGCAAGTACATGTGTATATTGGCACCAATAAATTTGAATTTGAATTCCTCACAAATCCCATCAAAGCTATAAGTTTGTACATTACAAGCCAAGTTAGTACGTTTAGCAAGCATATCCTCAAATAAAATTTCATACTTTACCTATAATAAAACCAAAACTACCATTCAAGCTGACTCATTGACAACATTATGCTGTGGAGAGTATAAAAACATATTGCTGAAACTCTCGGTCAACGCATGGTTGAGGAAACTGTTGGTTCCAGCGTTGATGAAACTGCCTGGAGGGAAGTTCATTGGCGACGGTGGAGGTGCCACGGGGCTCATCACGAAAACTGCATTCGGTGAAACGGCTGCGTTTGGTGAGAAATCCGATGAGAAAAAGAGCTGAGGAGCGTTATTGGGAATGGCTGGAAGTGGGGAAAGGTAGATGGGTATGGGTGATACCGGGGACATCATGGGCAGCGGAGAGTCAGCCACGTTGGAGGAGTGACGCATTCTGGAAATGAGAGAAATCACAATCATTAAAAATATCAATGACAAGCTGGTATCGAGCCCTGAAACAAATATAACGAAGCGGTCCGCAATGACAAGGGTAAGCACGACATAAAAATTAGGCACAGGGTAATGTCGCAGCGCAATAGCAGTCGATCTTTCTGTGCGCTGGTTAAGCAGATTGAAAGAAACTTCTCACCACTTACGTGTCAGGATGGAAGGATTCTAATCGTACTAAGTACTCGCCAAGATCTTTGCTGCCAACTCCAACATTGACCTCCTCCAACGCCCGAGTGTCGTCGATTTAAAGGACTCCCCACACTATGCAGGAAATAACATACAGGCATAAGTTGGTAAGACGTTTGCTCTTGTCGTAGACATCAACAAAGATTCTGGTCCGGACTCGATCCCTGCCGTTGTATTGAAAAGGTGCGCAACCGAGCTTGCTGCAGTTCTTTCGGGTCTCTTCCAGATATCTTACGAATCCGGAACCTTCCCAGAAAACTGGAAATTTGCTCATATCCAGCTTTCTGTTTTAAGTAAGGTGATGGCGAGGTGCATATATCGCGAGCTTCTGGACTACCTCTAACGCTTTATTAACGGCAGGTAGTATGGTTTCCGACACCAGCGATCCACAGAGGACCTCCTAGCTTTCATCACGAAACTGTGGAGTAAACTCATCATGGTGAGGCTGATATCGTTGCTCTTGATAGCACGAAAGCTTTCGATCAGCTGTGGCATGCTGCCTTCTTATGCAAGCTTCCATCTTACTGCCTCCGAGAGAAGCTTTGCAGATGGGTGGTTGACTTTCTCTCTGGCCGCAAGATATCCGTCGTAATTGACGGGTGCTTCTCTTCATCGCCACAACGTCAACGCGGGTGTTCCCCAGGAATTGGTCTTGGCTCCGACACTAATCGTCTTACATATCAACAACCTCCTTGCTCCTTTCCTGTACGATCAATCTAATCCACAGCTTTACTGATGACAGCACTCTACATGCAGAAATTGAGAGCGATAAGCATATCTTTGTAGGTGAGCTGGAAAAAAGAAGACTAGCAGCCAAAGAGCCGTTCATTTCCGATGACGGTGGTCCAAATCACTAAGGATTTTATCTGACCCGTCAATAGCGGCAGCTGCTGGGGAAAAGCAAGGCTAGGGCTAAGAAGTACTTTTCTCCAAATGACCTGCGCACTCTGTACAAGGCCCAGATAAGGCTCAGCCTCGAGTACTGCTCACATGTTTGCCTCGACCATATTATCCATTCTCTAACAGACAGTCTCCCTTTCCCACCGGCGGGCCGTCGGTGATCTAGTCCTGTTCTACCGCTACACCATTGGACTTTGCTCCTCAGGGCTTTCCTGCGCGATGCGCCTGCCGTGCAGACCCACCTTATTTGAGCGCCAACAAAATATTATGTCAGGTTTTCAGGGGAGCTGAGGCCATGTTGGTATAATAATGAGATGACAGGTTGCATGAGGAGTGGAAAGTCAACCTACTTGACGCTATTTTTATATTTCTGATCACTCTGCAGCGTAAACAGCTTTTTAGGGACTCAAACTTTTCTTACCTATACCGGGTGTGAAATTTGATCCTTACCATTGCGATCTCGGAAACGGTAGGAGATTCGAAGTAACTTGAATGAGGGCAAAGTTATATATTTAGGTAACTAACACAGTATAACCGATTTTTCCCAAAATTGTTTGATTTTTTCTGACTATGTGTTGTGGAATTTCAAAATATAGTCGAAATCACGAAAAATGAAGATTACGTCATCGTTTTAGTCAGTAGTAAACACAAACGACAGCAATTTATGAATATTCTTAATGAAGTTTCAGATAATGTTAGGCAGAGACAAACATAATTTTATTGTCTAAACAGACTGTATTGCTAATTTGCATATATCCGACAAAGATAGACGATGTTTTCATGTTGCATGATCGATCATATTTTAAAGATGAACAGTTAGGTTTTGTTAAAGCAGAGGTTAGGTTGTTTTCGAATAATACTTTGGTCTTTGGTGTTCTTGTCTTAAGGTATTAACTGTTTTTTTTCTCAAAACAAAAACTTTTCATAACATTATTATTAAGGTATCACTCAAAACCATGAAATAAAATAAAAATAAAAATAATCAGTGAAATAACCTAACTTCACAAAATCATAATATAAATTTGTTGTCATTATATTCCTGACATCGTGATTTTATCATCGACGTACGTCCATTGATTACTTCAGTACAATTTATGGTATGACGTAATAGTCATCTTTCGAGATTTTGAGTATAAATTGCATATTAACGTTGCGCCACTTTTGCTCCTCTACTAGATCGTATAATAATAATTTCAATATGACGTTTCGACCTCTGTCCTCTAGTGTCAACTTTATTTTTTCCAACGGACGCCATATTGGATTTTTACACAGATGATACATGGACTTGATGATTTCAAAGAAATAAATAGAATATTCTTGGTAGGCCTTGGAATTAACAGATAGTTATTTGTTTCGTATACTGGATTTATCGCAACATCGTTGTTTATTCCCTGGTTTTATTTGGAATGGGATTTTAAAATAAATTGCAAATTAGCAATTTACAAGAAAGAGTAGCCAAATTCTCGATCGAACGTTTCTGCTTTCGATCTCCATCGTTAACTCTTTTGTTTTTTCACATAAACTCCATATTAAAAGTTTGCACAGTCGAATACAATTCTTCACCCTGCATTTGGTTATAAATACAGGGTGTCCGCAAAGTTGGGGTTTTCCTTTACACGACGTGTAGATCTTGAAAACATAAGCAATTTTTCTTAGTACCATATACACCAATGTCTTAAGGGAACCGAGATAAAGGGCTCTGCAACATCAAAAATATCTGAATACCGTCCTGTAGCCGCGACTCGCGATATCCCCGACTGGTACTAGGACACTAGCTCAACCCGACGACAGAACTGGGTCGGGGGTCGGGGTCAGTGTGTCAGGTCAGCATGCAACCTTCAACCGACGGTTACGGTCACGCGTTTAGAGGTAAACGAACCCGTATAATCGATTGCGTTTCAAAAAACAACAAGCACTAGAGACGTGGCTAGAGAAGTGCAAGTATCAAAAACTAAAGTGTGGCAAACGCTGCGTGAAGAGGGGCTGTATCCGTTTCACGTTCAACGTGTACAAGCCCTTCAACCTGACGATTTTACAGCAAGAGTGCGGTTTTGTGAGAGGTTGTTGCATTAACATGACAATAATCCGGACTTTATGAAGTGCATATTGGTGACAGACGAATCTACGTTCACGCGTAATGGGGTGAATAACTTTCGCAACACTCATGTTTGGTCAGTAGAAAATCCGCACGCTGTCCGTCGGGCACATTTTCAACAAACATTTTCGGTGAATGTTTGGGCTGGCATGGTGAACGGTATGCTCATTGGACCATTTATTCTCCCAAATCGATTGGACGGGATGCAATACCTAGACTTTTTACGCAACATTTTGCCTTCCTTGTTACAAGATGTGCCATTAAGTGTAAGACAATCAATGTGGTTTCTGCACGATGGTCATATTTGTTACCTCTGTTCGTGGTCTGCACCACCGCCGGCGTCTGCTCGGTAACGCATCAGCTGATTTCATTTTCTGTTGGAGCGGTATGATTTCGGGCAGAGACGTACTTAGCCCTTCTCGTCAACTGGAGAGTGAGTACTTTTTTCTTTATTTTTTTTTTACTTGTTCGCCCTCGTTTCACTACACATTACCTTTGTTATTTCAAGGGTAGTTGTTTCTGAAAAGGAAAACCCCAACTTTGCGGACACCCTGTATAATATATTAATTTCTGTCACAATGAACTTCACATATCATTTAGTTAAAGTAACATATTCTTAGAAACATTTAAATGTACAAAAGTCCAATATAGTCCTTATGGAAAAACAATGTTGGTGATGGAACCTGAAAGAACAAACTTGGAATTGAAAATTTGACTAGGTATGTCATCTTGTAGAGGAGAAAGAGTGACATTGAAGATATGCAATTTATTTTGAAATTCCATCTCAAATAAAGTCAGGAAAAATAAAAATGATCTGTCTAAATCCAATATGGCGTCCATAAGAAAAAATAAAGTTGATGCTGGAGGACAATAGACTAAACGTCATGTTGAAATTCTGATTATGTCATCTTGAAGAGGCGAAAATAGGAAATTTCAACGTGCAGTTTATTTTAAAATCCCACTACAAATAAACTCAGGAAAAACATTTTCTCCGTCTCTCTCCAGAAGATTCTTTTAAGCGGTATTTTGTTTCCGAGATCCCAATGGTGAGGGTCGTATTTGGGACAACCGGTGTAAGTGTAAATTCTCCGGTGAAAAATTCTGTTTTTCAAGTTTCATCAGTCATTTTATTTGATCAACAGTTTCTATACTACTAGTCTTTTTTTCAACCCTCACCTGTGCAAAAATATGTTCTGCTGCGCCCCCACCCCAGGCACCATGTTGGGCTGCAACAGGGGTGCCTGACTAGGAGCCGGAAAAGGCTGTTGCATGTGAGGACTGAGCGAGATCATCTCAGCAGGGGTTAAGGGCGCGTGCCGCTCGTTATACATGAACTGCTTGATCTCCATAGCGGTACTGCCGCTTTGGTTCTTCTTGTAAGGATCCGCACCGTTTTGTAGCAGTTTTTTGTACGAGGCGGAGTCCTCCATGGCTGCGGCGAACATCAGAGGAGTTAGACCTGGAAATGAAAGCAAACCCATTTCATGTTATGTAACCTATCGAAATAGAACAGCGCAAAGAATTGACCACTGCGAAACAGTGAATCGCAGGTTGGGACTGTATGGATCTCAGTGTCATAGAACAGGGGTTCCCAACCTTTTTCTTTCTGCGAACCCCTTATAAAAAATGGAATATATCGGCGAACTCCCTGAGAAGTAAATAAAACAGTACTATTTGGATGTTATCAAAATTTATTAATCATATAAATCTAGTTAAATGAGCAAAGTAAATGAAAACATAACAGTAACGTAAAACATTAGAAAAACGTTATTAAAACTAACTAAGCCTTACAAAAAAAAAGATAAATACAGGGTGCAGCAGAGAGGATGGACGGTTTTAAAAAAATCATAAAATAGTTAATTTTTACTCGAAAACAAATTTATTGATGGAATCAGGTTCACAAGGAAATAGCATTTGAGACAGTCAAGTGTGGAAAATCACATCAGGCATGTGGTGGCCGAAATCGTTCTTGGAAGTTCGCGTAGACTCTCTCCAACATCGCTCTCTCAACTTGGGCGACTTCCACGCGAATTTCGCCCTTCAATTCGTCCAGAGTTCGGGGCTTGTTCACGTATACTCTAGCCTTGAGGTGTCCCCATAAGAAAATATCGCATAAGGATAAATCTGGGGACCGAGGAGGCCAATGAACATCGCCAAACCTGGAAATAAGGCGACCAGGGAAGAGAGGGCGAATAACGTCCATGGATGCTCGGACTGTGTGGGCGGTCGCCCCATCCTGCTGGAACCACACACGTCGGATTGGAACACGTCGTCGTCGTAATTCAGGGAGAAAGAAGTTGGTGATCATGTCAACGTAGCATTCTGAGGTCACGGTAACATCACGACCAGTACCGTCTTCGAAGAAGTATGGGCCAATGATGCAAGTGTGCAGTGGTCTTTCGTGTAACTGTTGCGGATTTTCATTAGCCCAATAACGACAATTCTGCTGGTTAACCATGCTGTTTAGGTGAAAGTGGGCTTCGTCACTCATAAACAAAATGAGGTTATCATTTTGATCGATCAGGGCTTCCATCTCACGTGCGAAGTTCATTCGTTGTGCATAATCTCCGGGCTGTAACTGTTGCACAATGGCCAATTTGTAGGGCTGAAAGCGGAGATCCATATACAAAATTCGCCTTACCGAACGATCACTAAGGCGAAGTGCAGCAGCATGTTTCCGGGCAGATCGAGTCGGACTGCGAAGAAAGACCTGTCGAACGCGTTTAACATTTTCAGGAGTTCGAACTGTTCGCGGCGCTCCTCTTGGTCTTCTGTTGATCAGTTCACCACGCCTGCGAAGTGATTCAACCCAACGAAGGATGGTGTTTCGAGAGGGAACAGCTCGATGACTGACTCATTATTTCGGACGAAACAATCATAGGCGAAAACGCAGTGCTTCACCGTCCAAGGCTCCATGACGAAAACTGGTAAAATAATGCTAGGATCTCACGAGCCAAACGGCACCCTCCCCACCTCTCTCGTAGACGGAGGAAGAGAGTACTACCCATCCCAAAAACATCCGTCCTCTCTGCCGCACCCTGTATAATATGAATACAAGTAATATGATACTTGCAAAAATCCTCAATGGGATATTTGTGCCTGTTTGTTTTGAACAAAGAAATTTAAAATTTGGTTCAATGTCTGAAAGCTTAAGTCTTAGATCGGGTTCTGCATTTAATCTATTTCTGTACTTATCTTTGAGGTAAGTGTATGTTGAAAATCCTTTCTCACACAGATACGTTGTGCAGAACGGTAACAAAATTTTCATGGGTTCTATTAATGAATGATTTGCAAAAACAGATTTTAGAGAATTGTCAGAGAATAAATCAATGAGCTTTCTTTTTCCAATGAAGATAAAGAAGTGTTAGAAATTATATCTCCTTCAAAGGGATTCCGCATCCAGTTGTTGGATCCAGGTTTATTAGGAAAATACTCTGAACGTTAATTGAAGCTGTTTAAGATGTTCAGTAATATCCCTTTTAATGTTTTCGTTAAGTTGAATTTTATTCTCTGATAATTGATTCCAAAAGTTGAACTTCTTTAGCATGGCTACTATTCTATCATGAACATTGAAAATTGTGATTCCTGGACCTTGTAAAGATATATTTAATTCATTTAATTTAGAAAAAATATCGGCCAAATATGCAAGTTCTTGGAGCCACAGAATGTCGGATACAAAAGTGGACAAATCAGATGGATGGACAAGAAAAAATGCCTGAACTTCAGACTTCAATTCAAACAAGCGGGTCAAAACTTTGCCACGAGAAAGCCACCTAACTTCTGTAAGAAGTGATAAAGAGACGTGGAGACCTCGCAAGTCCTCACAAAGTTCACAGAAGAGACGAGAATTTGTAGCACGGGACTTTATAAAATTCACAACTTTCACAGCTTCGCTTAAAGTACTGGCTAACTCTTCAGGAATACGCTTACATGCCGATGCTTGCCTATAAATACAGCATTGAGTCCATTATATATTCCCGTTGATCTTCTTTATTCATGCCACAAGACTAGAATATGTTACTGTCATTGATTTTGCACCATCTGTGCATGCACCTAAGCAAAAACACCAGTTGATTTCATGTTTTTCAAAAAATGGTCATTCCAGTAGTTTTGCAAATAACACATCTTCCTGAACGGAATTTTTAAAAATGTATCTAATATACACGAGGAATATTGCACAGTTTGCTACATCGGTCGACTCGATTTTATTCTTTTCAAAAGTTCACTTTCAACACTGTTCGCCAAATCGTTAATTCTCCGTGACACTGTGCTGTTTGATAAAGGCAGAAGGTAAATTTTTTGCCGCTTTTTCTCCTAGCATACACATTGCGATGTCTTTAGCACAAGGTCCGATAAAATTGTCTGCCACTGTATGAGCTTTTCCAGATCTTGCGATTCTGTAACTCGAAATGATGCTTTAAGAGCCTTTTTACTATCTGCGTTGAAAGCCGACAGGAAAGAAGAAACACTACAGTTCTTATTACCTTCCAATTTTCTTTTAAAATATTCAAAAGTTTTATCTTTGAAGTCCGGATGTCTTGCCTCAAGGTGCCGACGAAGAGGCGATGGTTTTAAGCTACTGTTGTTATAAATTACACAAAGCGGTTTAGGTTCTGACTCTTCCCCGGTGAAATGAAAATCCATTTGCAAATAGTTAGTGTCATGTTTTCGTTTCTTTCCTTTTTTTCCACCATGCTTGTATATTTTTTCATTACTTTTATTATGGCTAGAAGGTACCTCACTATAACTTTCAGTATCGCCACCCTGTGTTGGGCCCAAATCAGGAACCGAAGAAGAATCAGTAGTTGATTGCTCATCTGGGTTTTTGTCAGAGTTTTCAAAACTGCCCTGCCTGTTTTTAACCAAATTTACAGAATATTATTATATTTATTTAGTTTCACGTTCGACATGCGTACGGCTCACGAAACGCGTACGACTGTACTCGTACTTCCGTGACCTTTTTATATCTGCAGGCGTTATTCTCGTTCTTTCCAGTGCATTCTCAGAAAGGTCTCGGTGCGCTCGATTCGCCGAAGTAGAACTCTTGCCGGATTGTTGTAGCGGCAGTGTTGCAATATTGAGGACAAATTCCGCAATTACCATAGTTTTTTCGCGAACCCCCTTTACATAGCTCGCGAACCCCTATGGCTTGAGAAACACTGCCTAGAATAAATACGATTTGATTTCGTCCCTCCGACAAAAGATCATGGACAACTGTATCAGCATGGTCTAGGCTAGAGTCTCTCCGACAACGAACGAAAACATAGCAACTATTTTTTTTTTTTTTTTTTTTTTATATCGAAACAGCCGCGCAGGCAGAAGCCTAAATGCCGGAACACCGCGGCTGCTATGATGATCCCAAAGAAATTTTGTTAATACGATTTTTGAACTGCCTAAGGTTAGTAGAACTGGGAAAAGCTTCCTCCCGTAGATTTCTGCAACATATTTGCTCTAAAATGAGGTGTTTAAAATATTCTTATAGCATAGTTATACAACACCTTATAGGACAAATTTTTAACTGTTACATAAACGTTTATACAACTATTTTATACGGCATATTTGCACGTTAGTCAAATTGGTTGTGTTGTGGCATCCATGGTAACGTTTATAAAACAAACCCGAGCCTTGTTGTTTTGCTGTGCATATTACTACTTTAGCCAACAAGTTGCTCCCAACGGAAGCACTTATACAACTGTTGTTTAGTAACTGTTAAAGGCTGTACAAATGCTATATAAGTTGGTATCCAACTTCACCATAACCTAACTTTTTGCTGTCATATTTTTGTTAAAATGCCATAGCCAATGATTTAAGACAAACAACGCATGCATATTGGTTCAAAGGTTTTATCAACTGTTCAAACAGAAGATATAGATCTGGTACAAAATTCTGGGTAACTCATTGGACTCTGTCGGTATCTCATTTCAGACATTTGTCAAATTGTTGTATAACACCTGCAGGCAACACCAAAATATTCTAATAAACTGAAGACAACATGGACGATGCCATGATTATACACAACCACCAGCCATATTGGGCAAACATTAATTCCTCTATTTAATATTAAATAATTATGTTTCAGTTCGAAATTACAGATATAAAGTGATAAACATTAGTGTAATTGTGTCTAAATATAGGATTTGTGGAAGATTTGATGCAGATAAGTTCAGTTTTCCATCTTAAAAATCTAGACATACTTTTGATCATTATCAAAATATGCATGAAATAAGAAGCCCGTAGAAATTGCGTAACTACTTTGCACGATAATCACAATAAAATTTGCTGCGCAAGTAATTCAATATGAAATTGTGTATGAAATTCACAATGGCCGATACGTAAGTAAACAAGATGACTGTAATGTGTTAGTTATATATTCTTCACTTCGTCTATGCAATACATAAGAAATGGTTTGGTTGCAATAAAGTAGAATCACGTAACAGAATAGTTGTATAGTTGACAAAAACTGAATCTTGCACTGACGCAAATGTCCTATAGCGGCTGCAAGGGGCTTACACTTTTGTTGTATAAATGTTACCTGCAGCCCTTATACAACCTCTTGAATGACTGAAGTGTCCTATTTGGTGTGCCCATTCCGCTTGTATAGCTGTTCTAAGAGGGTTTTGCCAATGTTCTTACAGTATACAATACTGTGTAAGGAATACTGTATAATCATTTTTGCAACTCTAATGGGAGTGATAATTGTTAGTTGGAAAGTATGCGATCTATCGAAATATGTCAGCGCGATGCGCCATCTATCGCTATAAGCGACCACTGCGAAGGACTTCATGCCATAATGTCACCACGGGTGTTCACCAGGAACCGGTTTTGGCTCCAAAATTGTTCCTGTTACATATTATTGACTCAAATTCCTACATATTAAGACCAAACCAAACATTCACGGATGGTATTAAGGCTTTGTCGCACCGCTAGCCGATGGTAAGTGTAGTTAATAAAGAAAAAACATTATATGATTGTCAACTAAATCATAACTTTAGACTTGTTTCGCTATGATTTGCAACTTGCCGTATCGTCTGTCGTTCCTATAATCGTAGGACGCCTTTATGGCCTTCTTGATTTTCATTGTCTCTTCTCTTCTTCAGACATGCTGTTAGCGTCAGCACTCTCTTGTTGTGAGGTTATGTTTCCTTTTTGAATCTTAAGAAATTTCAGACTGATAAAACACATAGAAATACCCCCGCCTTTCTGAAGGACCATACGGCCCTAAGGCCCGTATCGTCAGTCGTCCCTACAATTGTAGGGCGCCTTTATGGCCTCCTTGATTGTCATAGTTTTCTACTTCTCCGTGTCAGAACTCTATTTTGAGGTTCTGTCACAAACATCTATTTGCATCAAATTGTGCTTGTTTTTGAGTTATATCATGTTTTATCAGCCTGAAATTTCCTACAATTTAAAAAGAAAACATAACTTCACAATAGGAGAGCGCTGACGCTGACACGGGACAAGTGTAATCTAGAAATTTTTGAAGGAGAGAAAGGACAGTCTCTCGATTATAAAACCGATACATTGAACCCTTCAATACAAAGAGTCCATGCGAGAAAGCCCTTTCCAAATTTGTTTGAACAAATCAAAGATCCTGGTCAGAGAACTTCAATTTATATTTGACGAAAATAATCACTGTAGGGTGTACTATCAATGGTATCATGAAGACCTTGGATAGTTGCTCTGTTTAGTCCATATCATAATTTTGTATAAAATTAACCAGACCATAACACAAACTGATAGATCAACCAACAAAGACGGCTTGTTAGTGGTTCTGCGCAATTACTAGATAATATTTCATAAAAAATACAAATGTTTTTATACCTGTATCTGATGGACCAGCGTTCAAATCGAACCCTTTCGTGATAAGGAAGCTCACTATATCTTGATCTTGGAACAATATCGCAAGGGAAATCGGAGATATTATACTTTGCATTTTTTCTCTCGATATCCCACCGCACAATAAATGACGCAGGATAATTTCGGTGAGTTCCATTTTCCGACTGGCTATGCTGATCATGAACACTGAAAATCCTGCAAATAAATTTCAGCGTGTAGTAAGTCGCTACCGGGATCTGTATGATTTCAAATAAAGTATTTACGGATTTTAAAACTAAATGATATTCTTAATAATAAATGGAAAGGGCATTGATCTAGAGATATAAATAATTTTGCTATAGACCACTTATAATAATAATAATATACAGGGTGTCCAAAAAGTTGGGGTTTTCCTTTACACAACGTGTAGATCTAGAAAAGATAAGCAATTTTTCTTAGTACCATATACACCGATGTCTTAAGGGAACCGAGATAAAGGGCTCTGCAACATCAAACATATCTGAATACCGTTTTGTAGCCGCGACATCACCGACTGGTACAAGGTCACTCGCTCAACCCGACGACAGAACTGGGTCGGGGTCAGTATGTCAGGTCAGTATGCAACCTTCAACCGATAGTTACGGTCACGCGTGTAGAGGTTATCGCGTAGACGCAAGTATCAAAAACTAAAGTGTGGCAAACGCTGCGTGAACAGGGGCTGTATCCGTTTCACGTCCAACGTGTACAAGCCCTTCAACCTGACGATTTTCCAGCAAGAGTGCGGTTTTGTGAGTGGTTGTTGCATCAACATGACAATAATCCGGACTTTTTGAAGTGCATATTGGTGACAGAGGAATCTACGTTCACGCGTAATGGGGTGAATAACTTTCGCAACACTCATGTTTGGCCAGTAGAAAATCCGCACGCTGTCCGTCGGGCACATTTTCAACAAACATTTTCGGTGGATGTTTGGGCTGGCATGGTGAACGGTATGCTCATTGGACCATTTATTCTCCCAAATCGATTGGACGGGATGCAATACCTAGACTTTTTACGCAACATTTTGCCTTCCTTGTTAGAAGATGTGCCATTAAGTGTAAGACAATCAATGTGGTTCTGCGTCTGCTCGGGAGCGCATCAGCTGATTTCATTTTCTGTTGGAGCGGTATGATTTCGGGCAGAGACGTACTCAGCCCTTCTCGTCAACTGGGGAGTGAGTGCTTTTTCCTTTATTTTTTTTACTTGGTCGCCCTCGTTTCACTACACATTACCTTTGTTATTTCAAGGGTAGTTGTTTCTGAAAAGGAAAACCCCAACTTTGCGGACACCCTGTATATTTATTGCTCAACATACATCCATTTAAAGGACAATGTAATTGAGTACAATTTGACGTTACAGTATTTTTAACTTTTTTTTTGTCTCTGTAGATGAGAGGTCTTTTTGTTTACCTTTGACCTTTGAGTCTATTTTTGGTTAGTTAACCTTATCTGTCATTAGGGATTCACGACTTGACTTGATTTTCAAACTGCTTGACTTGAAATCAAGTCACGTTCACGCCAAGTATTAGATATCAGCAATTAGTACAAGTACTTGAAAATTGGAGTAGTCTTTATATTACGAGGGATGTCTTCTAAGTTTTGAATATGGAAATAAAGCACTTATTCCACTCGTTTGCTGGCAGATCCAAAACGGCATTTTTGAATGCATCAAATGCTTCTTCTGGTGACTGGAACCTTTGACCACGCAGTCTGTTTTTAATTTTCGGGAAAGTAAAGAAATCGTTAGGACTTAGATCGGGACTATATGGAGGATGGTCCAATAATTCCACGTTTTCTTCCGTTATATACTGCATCGTTTTTTGGGCTGTGTGCGAGCTTGCATTGTCTTGGTGGAGGATGATTCTTCTTTCGGGTTTGATTTTTCGAAGCTCGGTGATGACTTTTGGCAAACAAATGGTGGTATACCAATCCGTAGTAACAGTTCTTTGCTCATTAAGAGAAATTGTTGCAATATGGGACCTCGGTTGGCCGCGTGGGTCAGAGTGTCGTGCTACTGATCAGCCGGCCGGCCGGGACGCGAGTTCGAATCTCGCCTTCGCCATGGATGTTGTGTGTTTGTTTTAGGCAGCAGCGGTGGCCGCAGTAGTAGACTCTTCGGTCTCCTGATCAGTCGCCGTGTGCTGTGCGGGTTCGATTCCCGTCCCAGGAGAAATGTTTCTCTTGGCCATGGATGTTGTGATTGTCCGTAGGTGGTAGATGGTCTCTGACTGTCGAACGCGGAGGTACCACCCGGCGGCTCTCGTAGGCGGAGCCAGAATGTGTGCATGTTGCATGCACACGTGTTCCCTCGCCAGAGTCCGTGTGGCGTCCCCCCTTTCCCATGTATCCGCCATAGCCCCACGGTACCCAATGGGTGCTTAGGCCTTAGGCCTTCGTGGTAGTTGGAGTATAAAAAAAAAAATGACCCGCTTTTGACACAAATGTCGGGACCATCTTTTTCGAAACACTTCGAGAACGGATGACTTTTGTTGGCTTTTCTTCACCTTGGAACACCCAAACACCCGACTGTCGTTTATTTTCTGGTTCATAACAGTAAATCCACAATTCATCACCACTAACAATACCGTACACATTTTTTGAGTTTCCGGAATTGAAACGGTTAAGCGTTTTTTGACACCAATCAACCCTGGCTGTTTTCTGCTCTTCAGTCAACAGGTGGGGTATCCAACGAGAAACTAATTTTCTTACTCCTAATTCTTCATGTAAAATTTTTTGAATTGAGGTTTTTGAGATCTTCAAGGACGCTTCAATCTCGCGATATGTCACATGTCTATCTTCAATGATGAGTTTGCGCACAGCATCGACATTTTTCTGGGTGACTGCCGTTTTTGGTGCACCCACCCTGGAATCGTCGCTAAGACTCACCCGTCCACGTTTGAATTCTCCATACCAACGGGAAAGTGTCGACTGATGTGGCGCTTCGTTGCCGAAAACAGACAGTAACTCAGCAAGGCATTCTTGTTGCGATAATTGTCTCTGAAAGTGTAGTGAGAACACTGCACGTATTGTTGTGAAACTTTGAATTTAAGTTTACTAAAGAGTGAGGTTAAGATCCAGTACTGACGTTCGATCCGCGCGGCCTACTATGTTTCTATATGCAAAACTTAGAAGACATCCCTCGTATTTAGTAAATACTGAGAAAACAAAACATATTGATCAAAATCGTATAACAAATAATGGAACGATAAAACTCTAAACTCGAATGGAAAAAACATTTCTTCATCAGCTGAAACAAACAATGACGTCAAGGAGATTGATTCTATACGTCCTACGCCTTCGTTGGAGGTTTTAAATAAAAGTGATTATTCACATCGTCCCAAAAGGCAATGAATCTTCCACCTCTGCATATCAAACAATATAAAGCAAATCTATCATACATCTGTTTCCATAGCGGATGTAGTAAAATATGAGTGACTTATTATATCTAACAGGTGCATAATATCACTGAGATCAGCAGCTTCTTAATAATAGAATGTGTTTCACTGACATCAAATATGTAACAGTTTATAAGCATTTACCGCATACCCAATATCCCCTACAACCCCCAACCCTCAAGTTTTAACCCCACAAAATTTTGGCCGAAACAATGAAGTTTAAGCGATTTTTTATTTTTTTCGTGTTCTAGCCCCATATCCGCGAACACTATACCGATTTTCAAAGATTACAAAGCTGTTTTATCCTTGGCATAGTGGTAACCTTGTGCGAAAATTTTTGGAACGGTACTTCTCGTGTTAAAGGCGGTTATAAAATAAGCGGACAGACCGACAGACTGACGGAAATGAGCGACATGGTTTTTCGTGATGTAGACATCCATCTCAGTTACCAAAGTGTTCGCTAGTTTTGGCATAGGAAATAAAAACGAAAAATTCTGAATTAGCTTTTCATTCGTTAACAACGAGTTGTGAGACACAGGATTCTAAGGGATTTATCGCTTAGTCTGTTGTGCAGTCCTAGAAAATTCTCTTTCAATAGGCGCTGATGATGCGGGTGTCGATAAAAGATCTCTTAGCACTAGATTTTCTAATACATTTTCAAGCCTTTTTACCACTCTTGATTATTTGCATTGAAATACAAAATAAAACTCATCATTATCACTGAAGGTCTTTAGTGGAATAAAAATTTTAATTTTCCATCAAGAATCAAGTATAAAAATTCTTGACCTCAAGTCAAGTAGAACAATAAAAAATCAAGTCATCAAGCCTTAACGTTCCAAGTAATTTTATTTCCAGATACAGTTGACCCCCGATAATCCGGCTCCTGTCTAATCCGGCGCCCCCTGTAATCCGACATGTCTTTGAATATGTATTACATACATACGTATTTGACAATCTTCGCTAATGTAGATCACGCCGGTTTGAACAGGTTACAACTTGTAAAATTTCAGGACCCATGTTGGCCATGAAAGCTAAGTTTTTTTATAAGGAAATAACAAAAAAAGATGATTTTGTGGCCAGCAAAGGATGGCTAGAACGTTTTAAAAGTCGTCATGGCATACGTTTAATAACTATTACAGGAGAGAAACTTTCTAACGATGCCACCTTCATAGAGCCCTTTAAATTAAGATTTTTGCAACAGGTGAACGATTTAAATCTTGACCCGTCACAGGTGTACAATGCAGACGAATCAGGGCTTTTTTGGCGTGTGATGCTTAAGAAAACTTTCGTTTCTTGTAACGAAAAATCCGTACCTGCACGAAAAGTAAGTAAAGAGCGTGTAACCATACTACCATGTGCTAACGCTGCGGGCACACACGCGCTTAAGATGATGGTCATCATAATAAACCACGGGCATTCAAAAACATTGATTTACCTGTACACTATTACGGACAAAAAATTACATGGATGACAAAAGACCTTTTCAAAAAGTGGTTTGATGAATGCTTCGGCCTGAACTTAGAAAATGGTTAAAAGATCATAATTTTCTTCAAAAAGCGTTGTTGCTTCTTGATAACGCTCCCGGTCATCCGTCTGAAGAAGAACAAACACCTGAGGATAAATGCATCACTGCGATGTTTCTTCTGCCAAATTGCACTGCACTGATTCAACCAATGGACCAGAATATCATTCAGTTTATCAAGCAAGACTATAAGAAAAACCTACTTCTGAGAGCCGTATCAAAAGACCAACCGATAGAAAAAACTTTAAAAGAATTTAATATGAAAGACTTGGTTTTTGCTCTTTGTCAGTCGTGGAATGCGTTACCGTCATAAACTATTAAATCGTCTTGGAAAAAGTTATGGCCAGATATAGTCACCACTCCTAGCAACGTACCACAAATCAGTGTTACTTCGGAAGGTATAGAACAAGTCGCTACTGAAACACAGATAAGTCCGGAAGATTTGGAAATCTGGTGCCGTGGAATGGATAAAGAGGAAAATGTTTTTCATGAAATGTCTGACGAAGAGATTATAAAAGAGGTTTCTAACTATACAACAAACAATCAGGAAAATAACGACGACGTGATTGCAACTGCTCCACAAGTCACAGCACAAGACGCAATTAACGCCTTTGAGCTAGGTTTACAATGGGCTGAAGAGAATGATACATCCTACGACGAACTTTTACTTTTGAGAAGACTGAGGGACAAAGCTCTGATCTCGCGTTATAACAACCTTAAACAAACAAAAATTGATGAATATTTAAAAGCTTCATAATTTGATAAATTCATTAATGATTTTGATTAATAATTCTTGATTATTTGGTACATATTATGTCTGTGCATTTATGCTTAATTTTATAATAAAACGTAAGCTCTCTATTGTTATTTAATTTACTAAATTCGACATACATAAACTATGTATGATTTGTACTTCAAAGTACATACATATACATAACATATATAATCTTACCATTGGACATGTAATTTGTCGGATTACAAGGTACTCTTTTGTAAGAAAATCAGGACTATAGGGGGTCATAGGCAGTGCGCTATAATCCGACAAATTCGATAGTCACTGCCCTGCATAATGTTTGTCGGATTACCGGAGGTCCACTGTAGTATTAGGTAATCTGTATTGTATTGTTTTTGACTTTTGATTTGTTATGATCTGTGGATATTTGACATATCAACTGATAACTTGACTAATCCCTATCGGTCAAGGTAGTTTAACTTCTATAGTCCAACATACATACCGAAATAATTGCTCTTACTGGCGTCTGCACGCAGCTCAAGCAAATGTTTGGCCATTTCTATATGACCATTTCTGCAGGCCATCATCAGAGGTGTCCATCCCAAGAAATTAACCACGTCGATTTTCATATCTTCGGTAAACTCCTTTTTGAATTTATCCACGTCGCCTTTTGCAGCTGCATGGTGCAATGTTGTGTTCTGATCATCATCCTCTATGACACAATTGAGAAATCGAATTTTTTAATATGTCATATAACACATATATGTCTTGTTTTTAGTACTAAATTTTGTCACGAATTTTTACAAACTTAAAAATATACAAAAAAATATTGGGCGTAGCCACCCAAAAATTTTACAAATCATATCTACATAACTATGCTTGAAATTTTTTGCTATTTGCATTTCATTTATATGGAGTTTTCCACGAGGATTTGACAATTCATATGGTTAGAAATTGTACAGAAGCATTTATATATTCTTTGGAGTGAATCCAAAGGTCTCACATCTCGAAAGTTATAAGTCTATAGAGGAATTGGGAAATGGATGAAAATACGAGTACCTTCAAAATGGATATGTCCAGTTCGTTGCAACAGTTAATTGGTTATTACAAAACGTCTTTCATTTTTTGCCAAAAAGTGGATAAGAGTAAATATGCCAACAGCTAAAGCCTTTGTAGTGATGATAGATAGAAAGAGATTACAAATATGTATGATTATCAAATAGGTAAGACATCCCTAATAATTCTAGACTTTTTATCCAGATTACAGTAATATGTTCTAAAATTTTATCAACGTCTGAAATAAGGTGCTTTACATCTGGAACTGCATTCTGGAAATATTGAAAGACGTAACTTATACTTTTGAATGTTATCTGTTTTCTTAAAAACGCCTGATACCCTTTACCTTTTTTCTAACAAAACAACAGCAATTTGATACATTCATACAGATGCACTACTTACCGATGGGAGGGGTAACTTTAATGGGTAATTTTTCGATTTTTTCGGTTTTCTCTATAGTATCTGCCATTTTTTCTTACACTGCTCAATAGAAAATAATGCGAATAGTGAGATTTATAAGATTCTCAAAAAGCCCGAAACTCAAACAGTTACACACACATACATCGAACAGAAATTTCGAAATTATTTTAACCTACAGTCGTTATACAGGTAGTATGTGCGAGGTATTGTATAAAAACTTGACTTATTTCAAACAAAAAGTGAATATTCTTGTATCTTGTATACTGGCCAACGACCGAAGAGTCAAAAAGTATGTACCGGGTAACCCAAAAATAAAGGACACCGGATATATCTTAACAACTGCTTAACCTAGAGCCATCGGTTAAAAATATCATTTCAAAAATAACCAAGGAAAATTCTAAATTCAAACGAGATTATTTTGCAAAATGCGTAATCATCGTATACGATGTCTTTTAAGTTTTGCATATAGAAACATACGAGTAGTGGCCGCGCGGATCGAACGTCAGTACTGAATCTTAACCTTACTCTTTATTAAATTGCGGGTCATATTGCAACAATTCCTCTTAATGAGCAAAGAACTGTGACTGTGGATTGGTATACCATCATTTGTTTGCCAAAAGTCATCACCGAGGTTCGAAAAATCAACCCCGAAAGAAGAATCATCCTCCACCAAGACAATGCAAGCTCGCACACAGCCCAAAAAACAATGCAGTATTTAACGGAAGGAAACGTGAAATTATTGGACCATCCTCCATATAGTCCTAACGATTTCTTTACTTTCCCGAAAATTAAAAACAGACTGCGTGGTCAAAGGTTCCAGTCACCAGAAGAAGCAGTTGACGCATTCAAAAATGCCGTTTTGGATCTGCCAGCAAACGAGTGGAATAAGTGCTTCGAAAATTGGCTCGAGCGCTTGCAGATGTGTATTAATCTTCGTGGAGAATACTTCGAAAAACAATAACGTCATTTAAAACTACCTACCGTGTTGTTTTATTTCCATATGCAAAACTTAAAAGACGTCCCTCGTATATCGTTTTGGTTGCTCAATTTCCGAACTTTTTGTTCAATATCATTTATTCATATTTTTGAATGGCATTTCAGAAAAGTCATACAACTTCTGTTTGGCGGCATCGTTTTCACGGTTTTATTTGAAAGAGCCCAAAATTGTCAACTGTGTGGTGTCGTATTTTGTTCGGTAGAGTCATAGGCCCTTATATATTCGATGAGCTGTTAACTGCTGAGAGCTACATGGACTTCCTATACATATTGCCTACGTTGTTAGAAGACGTCCGACTGGCCCGGCCCAATACATCTGACTCTTTTTATAAGCACTAAGGTTAAAATTTTGAATATGAATATGGGTATCATATCTGGTATTGTAGGCGTGTATTTCACTGCGCTGGGGTGATAAATCTGTGTGTTCTTTAACAAATAAGCATGACTCGTAGATCAATAATGACGGTAACGTTAAAATTTTATTATCTTTAAGTACTGGTCTACAGCTGTCCAATGGGTTGAGACCAATTACTAATCTAATCAGCCTCCTTTGCAGAATGAATATTCTCTGTATGCCACAAGAAATGCTCAATATACAGGGTGTTTCAGTTTATTGTTGCATAACTTTAAGATCCGATAGAACTTTTAAAATTAATGCATAAAGTTTATATAAACATGCGTCGAAAAATGGGTGGCTTCCGAAATACAGGGTGGTTAAATTTACTTTCTAAAATAGTTTTTTTTAAATATCTCGAACAATATTTGATGTATAATAGTGAAAATTGATATACAAGGGTTTTTTGGTACGACAAAACGAACCATGGGCATAGTTTTACTGTAGCCGCTAGAAGGCGCTCTCTACTATACCTGTAGTGTATTAAAATGACCGAAAAATTTTTCTTAGTGCAATTTTTTGCTTTTTAAATGAAAAAATTGATTCTTCGCACTTTTCAACTTAAAAAAGCTCTCCTGTGAGTTTTCGTTATAGTTAGCCGTTTTTGAGATATTTCGATTTTTAGGGTTCGATGCATTTTTAATTATTTATGGGAAAATAATATTTTTTTTACATTTTCGATTTGGGCATTACAAGTAATTAAGATGATCGTTTAGATTGTGTTTTTCAACACAGCAATAATTCCTAATTCCAAATAAACACAAAAAACAGAATATTAATTTGTTTAATTTTCAATATTATTTTTAAAAATTAAATTAATTATTTACAACTAAAATGCTATTCTATAGTTAGGACAAACATACAAAATCTAAAGTAGTCGCTCGAAATGTAAACCCAATTGTTCAATACACAATGCACATCTACGACAAATCGAACGTGGTATAGCATTATTCAAATAAGGCCTTATTTCATCACATGCATTCCTGATTCTCTCTATTAGCATATCTCTTGTGGTTAAGGGAGTCTGGTACACTTTTTCTTTTAGAAATCCCCACACAAAGAAATCTAATGGATTTAGGTCAGGGGATCGAGGAGGCCAGGCGACTGGTCCTCCACGGCCGATCCATCTTTCTGAATAATTTTCGTCCAGCCAGTTTCTAACTATTCTCGAATAATGAGCTGGACAACCATCATGCTGGAACCAGGCCAATCGTCTTAAATCTAACATAACATCATCCCACATATTTGCATGTTCAGCCTTTAAAAATTCCAAGAAGGTCGCAGCATTTAACCTTGCAGGCAAAAGGTAGGGTCCACATAGTCGATTACGGTAGATACCAATCCACGCGTTCACACTAAATTCATGCTGAAAATTTCTTTCCCGAACTGCATGCGGATTTTCATGCGACCAAATATGTTGATTATGAAAATTTACCACTCCATGTCTAGTGAAGCATGACTCATCGGTCCATAACACGTTACTTAAAAACTCCCTATTATTATCAGTTCTATCAAGAATCCACTGACAAAATGTGATTCTTCGTTCTCCGTCCCCTGGCTGTAGTCCTTGCACAGGTTGCAAATGGTAAGGACGTCTATGGTCATTTCTAAGAACACGGTGAACATGGCTTGCTGAAATTCCCAAGGCACCAGAAACTCTCCTAACACTTGTGGTCGGATCTCTATCAAACTCACGCAGAATCATACGGGTAAATCTGCGCTGATGAACATTTATGTTTTGATCCCTTTGGAGATTTCCAAAACCATTTTCAATTATTTGGCGATGCACTCTTACAAATACTGAGCGAGTTGGATGTCGTCTGTTTGGAAATCTTCGTGCGTATTCTCTGGCTGCTTGTGCTGCGTTTCCATTTGCAAAGCCATACACAAGATGAATATCCGCTAACTCTTGATTGGAGAATAAAAATGGCATTTATATAAAACTTACAAAAAAAAAACAGGTAAAAGAAACTAAATTTCATGCATTCACAATTGCAAAAAAACGTTTCAGGTTTCAACAGACAACAAAACTAACTGTCAACTAATTGACGTTTAACCTTATTCTGCTTTAAATTTCAAAAATATTTGCAGGCTCAGCCTACTTCTAAAAATTATCGAGATACTGACTTTTTAACGTTATTTTATCATAAATAATTAAAAATGCATCGAACCTTAAAAATCGAAATATCTCAAAAACGGCTAACTATCACAAAAATTCACAAGAGAGCTTTTGTTTGTTGAAAAGTGCGAAGAATCAGGTTTTTATTCAAAAAGCAAAAAATTTCACTAAGAAAAATTTTTCGGTCATTTTAATACACTACAGGTACAGTAGAGAGCGCCCTCTAGCGGCTACAGTAAAACTATGCCCATGGTTCGTTTTGTCGTACCAAAAAACCCTTGTATACCAATTTTCACTGTTATACATCAAATATTGTTCGAAATATTTAAAAAAAACTATTTTAGAAAGTAAATTTAAACACCCTGTATTTCGGAAGCCATGCATTTTTCGACCCATGTTTATATAGTCTTTATGCATTAATTTTAAAAGTTCTATCGAATCTTAAAGTTATGCAACAATAAACTGAGACACCCTGTATAACCAAGCACTTCATGTGACAGTACGCCATTGCAAATTAACTATTAAGGAGACCCTACGACTAACTAGACCCCGTGGGTTTCTTAATGCAAAGTATGCTGAGTTAAGCTTACCAGCCACATACTCTATGTGTGTTTCCCAGGAAAGTGTTTCGTCTATGTAGAGAGCCAGAAATTTGTGTCTTTCCACCTTCTCTATGGTAGTACTGGATAGCGTGAGCGTCAGAGCAGGTAGAGTTCGCCTTTTATAGAACACTATATACTTTGTTTTGGATGTATTTGCTGTCAACTTGTTTTCCGCGATCCATTCTGAAAATTTTAGTAAAATAATGTTTGCCTTATCTTCGGGTTCTTCTGGTGACTTTCCGCTTATAGTGATAGTTGCGTCATCTGCGTACTGTACTACTCTGACGTTCAAGCTCCCAGTTGTATCATTTATAAATACCAGAAACAGAGAGGAGGGACCCCCAAGTTTATTTCAAATGTATCTGAAGTGATATCACTCACCCTTACTTTTATTTTTCTATTCGATACAAAAGTTTTTATCCATGCATCTACTGGTGACCTGAATTCCGTATGTCTGAGCTTTTCAACGAGAAGGTTATGATCAATACAATCAAAGGCTCGACTTAGGTCGATGAAGAGAGCCAGGATATATCACCCACTATCTACAGACTCATAGATATAACTTAAAAGTGTAAAGGCAGCTGTATTTGTGGATAGTCTAGGCCTCAACCCGTGTTGATTTGGTGACAAAATTGAGTGTTCGTTGATAAAATTTAGAAAAACAAGAAACTAGCGTTATTGTCCCGTCCCAGGAGAAATTTTTCTCTTGGCTATGGATGTTGTGATTGTCCGTAGGTGGTAGATGGTCTCTGACTGTCGAACGAGGAGGTACCACCCGGCGGATCTCGTAGGCAGAGCCAGAATGAGTGCATGTTACATGCACACGTGTTCCCTCGCCAGAGTCCGTGTGGCGTTCCCCCTTTCCCATGTATCCCGCTATAGCCCCACGGTACCCAATGGGTGCTTAGGCCTTAGGCGTGGTAGTTGGAGTATAAAAAAACATTGCCCTATAATTATCAAGTACCTCTCGGTCTCCCTTTTTATACACAGAAATGATGGTTGCTAGCTTCAAGCTATACGGAAATATTCCTGTACTGATAGAAAGATTAAATATAACATAAGGGGTATACACCTATAAGGCAGTCAGCCACCTTAATTGGTATGCCATCTGGGCCGCCTGATGGTTTGTTTTTGAAGT